AAAGAAAAGAAATGAAAACAAAATAAAAGGGCCAACCAAATAGCTCAGAAGATTAAAGCGCCCCACTGAGATGGCAATTGAGACTGGGTGTGGTGGTGTGTACCTGTAATCCCAACACTTGGGAGGCTGAAAACAGGAGAATCACTACAAATCCAATCTAGTAGTGAGACCCTGAACACCCTGTAGACCCTTCCCTAAAATACAGAGAAATAAATAAAGAATATTCATAATAGGGCATAGTATAACAAACCTGTAACATCAGCTACTTGGAAGGCTGTATTAGGAAGACTCCAAGTTCAAGACCAGCCTGAGCAACTTAGACCCTTTCTCAAAATAAACAATGGTTTGGAAAGTAGTGCTGTGGTAGTACCCCTGAGTTCAATCCCTAACACTAAGGCGGGGGGGAGCAAAACTTACAAACTGATTTAAAACTACTTAGACCTTAAGCTTTTTACTTACTTTTGTTCAAACGTATATGAAGGAATTGTAAGGTTGTATGACTGTTTTGGTTCCTTGAGGCAGGGCTCACTATTGCACTTCAGGGTGGCCTTGAACTCACAGTGATCCTCCTGCCTCAGCCTCCAGACATCTGGGATTACAGGTGTATACCACCAAGACAGGCTTTGACTTTTTTTTTTTTTTTTTTTTCCTTTCTTTCTAACCTACAGTCTCGCTCTGCCATTCAGGTTGGCACTGAACTCACTTTGTAACCCAGGCTGGCCTCAAACTTTAAGTGATCCTCTTGCCTCAGCCTCAATTACAGCAGTGTGCCACCACACCCACCTGACACTTTGAAAGAAGGAAATTAGAGGGGAGATGGCTCAGTAGAATAAGAGCTTGCCTGGCAAGCACAAGAGCCTGAGCTCAATCTCTGGTTACACACACACACACACACACACACACGCATACACACACAAAAGTAGTCCTTTAGGGCCGGGGAGATGGCTCAGTAGAATAAGCGCTTGCCTGGCAAGCTCAAGGCCTGACTTTAATTCCCTGGTTCCGCCAAAAAAAAAAAAAAAAAAAAAAAAAAGAAAAGAAAATTAGAACTTATTATTATTATTATTATTATTATACCGATGAGGATCTGAATGTGTACATGTATGAGATTTGAAGGAAAATAAAAGACAAGCAAGCGTCTGTGGAACCAGGCCAATAGCTAGGAGTGATGTTTCATGCTTGTAATCCCAGCACTCTGTGAAGCTGAGTCAAGATGATTGCAAGCACAGCCCTGCCTGGACAATTTAGCAAGACTTTGTCTTAAAGGGTTGTGGATGTAGCTCAGTGCAAAGGCCCTGGGTTCAGTATGTAAATCCATCACTGCCAGAAAAGGGGGGCAGGACTAAAGTTCAAGTAAATAAAGAAGACTGGAAGTTAAATACCTCCATTTACATCTTAGACAGACCACACACACACTTCCAAACTGCTAAAAGGGCACTTTTGAGAGAAAATATTCTGGTCTAGTTCTAAGAAAAGGTATTTATTATATGAACAAGCAAGAAAGGACCATACAGGGCTCGGAGTGTGGCTGTGAGGTACAGCTCTTGCCCTGCATGCACAAGACCCTGGAATTCAATCCCCGGCAGTACAAAAACAAAAGAAACACAGGACCTTAAAGACAAGGGGGCTAACACACCCTATTAGTCGCTGAACTCTCATCGAATTAGAAAGGGGGGAAATGGGCACCATAGATCCTACAGTCCGAATTCCTAAATTCTAACTGAGAAGATAAAAAGGAATCTGTTAAACATTCCACAATCTATGTTAAACTATCAAGTATTTCAGAACTGTGACGGAATGCTCATTCGCTATGACAGACCAAGACAGCAGAAATTACCAGGAAACTGAAGGGAAAGCAGTTTTTTGACAGGGAATTATCAATGAAAAACCAAATTCCGAAGCCACAGGGTGAAGTCGGTGATGACAAATACTTGCTCTCTGTTTTGTTTTGTTTTGTTTTGCTTGTACAATTTGAGGGGAAGTGTGTGTGTTTGGCGAAATCCAAATCACAATACCATCCCCAATGCTGAGAACCGGGGGAACCCCAAGGGACCCGGCCTCGAGCACCCCGGGCGCTCGGGAGCCTAAGGACAGCGTGCGCTCCCTTAACTTCCTCCAGACTGCCCCGTCTCGCAGCGCTTCCTACTCTAAACCACGGCTTTAGGTCCCGCACTAGGCCACGCACTGGCTCTACTGGGCCGCAGAACCTCCGGTCCCCGAGGATTACCCGAAACTTCCCTCTCTCCCCTCTCAGTCATTTGAACCCTGACTCCCAGCCCCTCTGTGCACCACAGCAGCTCCGCTACCCCTCCGGCTCCTACCAAAATCACCGCCTCCATCTTGCCCCGCAGCTGGTGCCGACGTGGAGCAGCAAAAGCAACGCTACTGCTGATTGGTCCTGAGTCCTCATTAGACCCCGCCCAACATAAGGCTCATTGGACAGTGACGAGTCAGCGAGTGCTGTACTGACCAATTACTGTACGATCTCGCTTAGCGGAACTACGCCGTCCACCCAGATGGCACAGGCGTTTGATTGCCAGCTTAAACACTCAATAAAGCGCTGAAACCTCACAACTGAATGGGCGAGAGACTCAGAAGGACTGGGCTGTTTCCATGGGGAACACTGGAAGCGCTTGTTAATTTTCAATTGGTAGAGCTGAGAGCACGTGACATCAATGGACCGGTTTAGTGGCGTTAATCCGCACTGCCTTTAGGGGGCGCTATGTCTCCTCAGCCTTTAGTTTTTCCGGACCAAGTCCTATTCAATTCTGATTTTCAGCGCCACCGCTAGGTCTTCTTGATACCCGACGCTGCACTGAAGAACAGCTAGTTCTGCTGTCAAACTCACCTCAGGTCACTCCAGCATACTCACAGAAATTGTGCACAACCAACCGACAGTGGAGATGGAGCCAAGAGACGCACAGCGCGTTAATTATATATAAACCAAGGCCTAACCAGGCCCAGCACTCGGGGAGGCTGAGACAGGAGGATCACAAATTCAAGGCAAAAAAAAAAAAAAAAATCAAGGCCAGCCTAAACTAAAAATCAGTCAATCAATTAATCAGTCAACTAAGGCCTCCAGCAGTTGTTTGTCACACTGATAAGCTCCCCATTGTGTTGTCCCTGGCTTTGCGGGGCCAAGGGTGGGTGGAAAATCAGTGAATTTTTGCCTAAGACAGGGTTTCACTTTGTGGTCCACAGTGATCTCAAACTTGCAGCAGTCTTTCTGTCTCAGCCTCCTTAATGATGGGATTACAGGTGTACGACACCATGCCCTATGACAGTGAGTTTCTAACGGCATTTTTTCTTAGGCTTATGAAATAGAATGTTAGAGTTTTGGAAACTAGAAATGAGAGGGTAGGAGGGAAAAGAGCTAAAGAGATTAGTTATGTTCTGCCAGTATAGAGAGTAGTGGGATCTGTGGTTTTCCAGCAAGGACAAGCTGTTGCAAAATGAAAAAACAAAACATTTTTTTTTAAAAAGGAGAAGTTTACTGAATACTGGGATTTCACAATAGGGAGGAGATTTTTATGAGGTCTGACTTTCCTCTACACTTGAGTTACCTAGTATTGTGTATAGTTATTGGAGGCAGAGTCAGGCATGGTGGCACATGCCTATAATCCCAGCACTCAGGAGGCTGAGGCAGGAGGATCATTGCAAGTGTGAGACACCCTGGCCTACAAAGTGAACTCAAGGCCAGCCTGAACTGCATAGCAAGATGCTATTGCAAAAAGACCAAAAAAAAAAAAATTAATGGGGATAGCCCCTATGGTCCCATCTACTCCAAAAGCTAAGGCAGGAGGGTTGATTGGGAGTCCAACATGGGCAGCATAGCAAGACACCCATCTGTTAAAAAAGGAACAACAAAGCCAGGTGGGGTTCACAGGCCAGTAATCTCAGCACACAGGACTCAGCTACAAGAGGACCACAGCAAGTTCCAAGCCAGTACCGAATATACAGTGAGTGAACTCGAGGGCAGCCTGGACTACAGCATGAGATCCTGTCTCAAAACAAATTAAATTTATGAAGTAGATGATTATTGCACACATTTTACAGATAAGAAGTTGAAGCATTAGCCAAGAGTGGTGGCTCCCACCTGTAGTCCCAGCACTTGAGGGCTGAGACTGGAGGATCGATGTGAGTTTGAGGCCGGCCTGGGCTACTTAGTGAGTTAAAGGCCAGCCTAAACTGTATAGTAAGGGCTGGTGAGATGGCTCAGTGGTCTAAAGCACCTACTTAGAATAAAGCTAAGCTAAGCAAAAGCACAGGGACCGTGGTTCAATCCCCAGCACCACATGCCAGCC